ATTATGTGTGCAGGATGGCAGTGGACCCTTGAAATCTATACTTAATCTTTAGAACGGTTGAGTTGCCTTGATTAATGGTTTGTTCCCTGGTTTGTAGAACTTGGGTTTAATCTCGGCGCATACTTGGCACTGGGAAATTACGCGTCGAACTTCATCCACGGAATACGATAAGTTCCGAGAACGGACGATGTGATACATGCGAGTTATCCCCGGATGCCAGAGTGCTTCGTGTAAATCCTTTAGCACGTTGGGATCTATAACGGCTGTACAATAACCGCGTGAAAATGCATCGGCCGCTAAATTGTCACGTCCTGATCGGTAGGTGACATCGTACGGGAAGCATGATAGTTCAACTCTCCAGCGCTGAATTTTTTCGTTTTTTATCTAGCCCTTTGGTTCATTATTGAACATTGATTCAACGGATCGTTGATCAGTGATTAGCTTGAAATGGTTTCCCAGTAGGTAGTGTCTCCATTTTCGCAATGCTTCCACTATGGCGTAAGCTTCTTTTTCGACCGCGGAATAATGCCTTTCGGTTAATGTTAGTGTTCTAGAGAAAAACGCCACGGGTCTACCACTTTGGTTAAGGGTGGCAGCGATGGCAACATCTGAGGCACCTGTCTCGACAACGAGGGGCGTTCCGGGCTCCACAGTGACTACCATCGCGCCTTCAAGTTTTTGTTTTAACTTTTCAAAGCATCGTTTGACGGGTTCAGAGAGTGGGAATGATCGGTTTTGGACCAGTGGGTTGATCTTGTCTGAGAAGTGTGATATCCATTGTGAGTAATATGCGAACATTCCTAATGCGCGCTCCTGTTTCTTCATATTTCGAGGTGGCGATAGGTCCCTTAAGGGTTTGAGTCTTTCAGGATCGGGTCTAACAGCTCCCTTTGAAACTTCAAAACTCAAAGTGTTTATTTGCCTCACAGGCGTGATACTCTTCGCTACGTTAAACGTGAGAACGTATCTCTTGGCCATATCCAAAAATCTCTGTAGATTCGATTGTGTTCTGCCACATCCATACCACAGATTATTACGTTGTTTTCCACGTAGGCCTAAGTACCGGATAGTTGTTCCTTGTTGATTATGTTATCCAGAGTTCGCTGGAAACATCCTACGCCATTGGTCACTCCGAATGGGGTGCGGCGGAACTAATATAGCTTTCCACACCTCAAAGGCGGTGTATTTCTTTTTTTCTGTTTGGATGGGTATTTGGTGGTAGACACTTTTCAGGTCTAGGGTACTGAATACATCAAAACGCGCAATCTGTTCAATGAAGTGGTCCATGCGGGGAAACGGATACGCATCGGGGTACGTGAATCGATTTATGGTTTGACTGTAATCCACGACCATACGTTTCTTATATCTTTCATTAGAGGTTACTAAAACCTGGGCCCGCCAAGGAGACCTTGACGGTTCGATGATTCCTGCATCTAGTAATTTTTGGACTTCGGATTGTATGAATACTTCGTCTGGTGTTGAATGGCGTCTGGACCGGGTGATAAGGGTTTGTGGTTCTATTTTCGCAGCGAGAAGCCCACACACGGAGAATATGGGCCTGCCTCCGGAGAATA